GTCCTCACGAGTTTAGCCCCCTCCCCCCCCCCAACACGATAATATCCTCAGTGTAAAATACGAATGCACTGTAAAAATTGAAAAGGGGCAGTATTGTAGGGTATCTCATTGACTGTTTGGACGTTGGTACAGATGAAGCGCATGCGCAACACTCTGGAGGGTCTATTAACTCGGATAGTTGAGTGTACATACCGGCATTTTCGATACAATGTTAGATACCACTCATGTGACTTTACAGGCCTCTCGTGATATTTTCTGACTGAGTTTTACTCGCATATACGATCTTACCGGGGGTCTTTCACTATTTTATTGGGTTGGGATGGGGAAGTGGAAATGGAATATAAGGAAGTCGTTTGAGGAGCCTGTTGAGCATTGAATAGGTCAATTACGGAAATGTTGAAATTTTTTAAATCTTTCAGTTGCCATAAGGGCCAAGAACATGTGTTTTTTCGGAAAAGATCCACATTATGAGCTCAATCAAAATGATTCATAACTAATCGTTCAACAAGCCCTCCCCTCTTTATCATCTAGCATTATTCCATTAATATATCACAATAAACCATTAACTCTCTGATTCCTCAGAAATCGTCATTTTATTATCTAAAAAATTTTCGTACAAAAAAAAAAGAAAAAAAAAACTCATATGAATAATGGTTGAAGCCGCCAGTGGAATGACTGTACACCGTATTATATCCCCGTTGTCGAGATAGACGAGAAGCGACCAGTTATATATGAACCTTTCTATCCATTACGTCGTTTGGTAAAGGAACGAATAAAATAGAGATGTATTGTCTTTACACGGGAAGTTGTAAGGCCAGAAGGTACACTGCCATTTATTACATCTCGTGGTAACGACTATGGGCGTGCTAGGGTAGTGCGACTCACCAGCCAACTTATCCTTTATAACCCAAGTTTTAAACGTATGTAATGTGTGTGTGTGTGTGTGTATGTATGTATGGGGAGGGGGGAAATACTGGCGATGGAGAATCAGGCAACGACTGAAATGCCGGGCGTGTGTCCAGGAAACATAAAATCAGGCGAGTCACTCTGTGGTACTCCTTGGAGGACACGTTGGTGGTCTTAGAAGGACTATCCTCCGACCATTCATTTTCAGTTTCCTGGACTGTTACAATTTTTATCGAGTTGTCATACAGCAGTTTAGAGCCGTATCATTTCTGGGGATTATGTCGATGATAACGGCGGCTGAGATTTATGCACGATTTATGAACGATTCCTCAATTGACATTCTGCGATGAAGTAGTAATATTGCTCGTCTGACTTGGTTGTGCGTTACATATTGTCATATTAAGGCCATTGATAATTGGAGCTTGGATAAAGTCCTCATTATTATTCGATTAAATTTCGTGGAATTTCTCTTTTTTTTTGTCGGCGCGTCACACGTTTTTTAGAAATTTAGTCATTGAAAATTCCAAATTTTATGGAAAAATCATTGAGAAATGTTAATTTTCGTGAAATCCCGCAGGCATTGAAAATTTAAATAATTTGTGCAAGTGAACGCTCCCTCAATCATTATCCCTGGATGGAATAATAGAACATTTTCATTACGATTCGATTAATTATTGCCCATCAATTAATACGAGCAATGCTTCATTATGAGAAGAGAAAACAAAGTGAAATTAATTTATTTTACATTTCCATAGTTGAGGATGGGTTTTCAACGAGTGAGATTATTAAGTGACAGAGAAAGTTCACACTATTTAGTTATCATTGAAGACGAGGGATCTTCACCCTCGTGACAATGCCGGGAACATAACTGAGATAGGTAAGTTTGCATCGCTTCTAATTACTTTCTCCCACAAACTCCCAGAGCTTTTTTTCTAACTCAGAGGCATGGGAGGCGGCTCGAATAGAACGTGATAGTGATAGTATTTAGAGTCTCAATGTCAGATTAATTTCCAATGAATGTTGTAACCTTTTAAGTCTGGTATGTTTTGATTTTATTTTCTAGGACTGCAATATTACTCTGTTATTTTTTTAACCTTATCTGGAGTCCATTAAGTACTTATCGACGCCCCCCCAGTGTTCACCATCTCGATCATTCACCGTTTAGGACAGCAGACATGCTTTTGGGAGGAGATATATGAGAGAGGAAAAAAGTTGGAGACTTAAAAGTACCGGTTAGATCGCCATTGGTAATCGATACAGGGCCATTTCAAATATTGTGAGTGTCTTTCAATCGAGCGTCAGGCCCTACAGGAGCTTTTATTCTTTAGTTTATCACCTGTATCCATTAGGCTCCTCTGATTTAACCTCTCACTTGTCAATTTTGTGATTGAAAAAAAAAAAAAAACCGCTGAATTTCGAAGGGATAAAAATGCCCGGTGCTACATGGGACAGTTGAACATGGATTATAGAAAGGAATGCGCTCAGCACGAGGGGCTATTCAGCGACCTAGAAACACATTATCGCAATAAATGTTGTGCAGACCTACTGACACGCCCAACAGGTCTTATCGTTTTTTTCGCGGTTCAATCAAACTGTTTTTTTTTGTCAGTCATTTTATTATGTCCAACCCTTTTATCGGGATTTCAACACCTCAGTGTATTCATAAATTAAAAATATGAATGGTTTATCTGATGTATGAATATGTAGTGGTTTTATTCTCTTTGCAATTTATTCGAGTTATTTCATTTATTAAAGTAATGAAGTAATAAAGAAAAGAAAAAAAGACGACTGATTAATCTTGAATTGAGATGAATATTTTGGGATATTCCTGCCTTTGTCACATGGACGATAAAATATTACTCAACTGAAGTTGAGAATTTCTTCTCCCCCTTTCAAGCATACTACGTTCTAATCGTCACGTATTAAAGTGTTTATATGCGCAATGTGTTTTGCTGGTTTGAACTTCTGCATGTGATAAATTTGTCAACGAGTCTAAATATGAATAGGACAAACGCAGAGTATGTATTAAATCCTTTGAAGGCCCTCCCTGGAGTTGACTGATATGGATGAAAAACAATTGACATGAGAGCAAAGTCTCTTTTCGAGGGTTATTTTAAAAAATAAATAAATCAAATGAGAAAATGCATTTTTAATTCTGATGAGCTCTTAGGCACGTGTAGGCGGATTCTTGGCGGGGTCCTTCTTCCGTTCTCACGATGACTTGCAACCCGGATGCATAATTTTTCCTACCTTCCTACCACTCGACCCCTCCAGCAACTTGAACTCGAGACTTGATTATATGCACTTTCATTAGTCGCCCCACGCGATGATACTCATTCATGAACATATTATCGAACGATGCGTGCTCATTGTTCCCTTGACTCTTTTCAATCACCATTTTGCTTATTCCGATTTATTTTTTATGCAATTAATCGGTGGTTGATTACAAATTTAAGGGGAATAAAGTGAGGTATGTCACGTGTGGCTTATAGAGAGAAATTTCATGATGGTCGATGGTGGTCAATTGACGAAAATTATATGACTTTAAATTTAATTTCATATGAAATAAAAAAAAAAACTTGCAAAATGTGATAAACTTCAATAGGTCCTATTGAAATTCAAATCGAATCTATACATTCGAGGAAGAAATTTTGATCATGAAAATTGAATTATTTACAACTTGGGAAAAGTTACAGCATAAATAAATAAGGAAATTATCTCGACTTTCCAATAATCTAAGAACTCCATTTCCCTTATTGCGTCACTCATCAATAGAACCGATGATTATTCAATGATGTTATTAGATTCATTAAAAAAAAAAAAATTATTTTTAGCGATTCCCCTAGATTGAGGAAACACTTCGTGAAAGATGTCTCAAGGTCAAGTTAAATGGACGTATTCAACGAATTGATTGAACGTTTATAGCTTGGTGTTCTATAAATCGATGCAAAATATACTGAAAATAGTTCTGTTTGTTTTCACGAATTATTGACATTGGATGAGAGTCATATACTCTCATTCGTATGTGACAATTCGCACAGGCTTTCTCAATTAATAGACTTCAAATGGAGTATTTTTTAAAAAATTCAAGTGGATGCAGATGTCACTAGAGCCATTTTTCCTGTTCCTGTGTATATAAAGTTTAAAATGCATTTGTTGCCATCATTATCGAATTATTGTGATGCGACAATGGAGATAACTGGATATTCATAAAATTGAATACTATTTCAAAATGATTCATCCTTTGTTTTGGAATTTCAACAAATCCAAAAACACATAAACCACTGGCTTAATCCGTAAACATTTTACTCACATCTCCCAGTCAACTTCCCAAATTTATTTTCAGATGTCTCAACTCCACAAATAGAAACTCTGGATGATATTATCGTCCTGATTAATGATGAAAATAGTTAAAAATCACGGATGATCAAACACCCAGACGTTTGAGTCAAAATATAATGAAATATTATTTGTAATGTGCGCCAAAAATCGAGTTGCAAAATTACCCAAATATGAATTTAACGAAATTTTGCATTTTTTTTTGTTTTTTCCAATTTTTCAAATTTCTATTTCTTCTAAATGATGAACAATAAAAAACGGCAATTAATGTAAAATTTGTCGGTTCAACTTATAAAATGGGTCACACGAGCGAAGTGAGTGACCGGTACTGATTTTTAAAATTCATGGCACATTCCCAGAGAAATCCAAGTGAGTGCAACCGATAACTCCTTCATTTTTCATTCTTTAATAATAAATTATCGAAAACATGTATCAATCGTCCTTGGAAAATGTATTTTTGTCAAAAGTAAATGACAAATTGGAATGAATGGAGAGAATAGTGTTTTTAAAAAATCATGAATAAATCTGAATAAAACGCATTCTCAATGATTTTCAGGGACAAAGAGTTGCATGGTGACTGGAAAAATATTCGAATCCATCTCTGACGTCTTTGCATAAGCATAACATATCTCGTTATCATTTGTGTTTATTCTTAACTAGTATAAAACAAAGAAAACAAGAAAAAAAACGAATCATGCAATAATAGGGGCAACGTTTTCTCACAGTGTGACGTTTCAGTTGCAGTTCACCATATAGAGTTGGTGGAAAATGTCATGAGTGGGGTACATACCTTGAATTAAAAAGTTGGTAAAAAGAAGCAAGAAGAAGAGATACTGAGGCGGGCATTGACAGGCGTACGGTGTTTTGCTCCATTCTAATGTCGCAGCAAGCCACGTCTGCATTTTGCTTCGGAAAGTAAGTCGATCTTATCGTCGTTGGGAGTCCACGAGGGGTTCTCCGGGTACCAATGCTCGCTCTGTCAAGATAAAGAATTTGCTCAATATAAAATTCATAAAAATTACTAAAATATATTCATTTGTGCAGTGACAAATAGAAATAAAAATTTGAAGAAAAAAAACAATTGTTTTTCCGAGGCGAAAAAATTGCCAATAAATTTTCCACTTTTTTTTCCTACTTGAGCTAAAACAAAATTTGTTTTTTCATTGACTTAATAACTCTCTCTCCCTTGGCCTTCGTTTTTTTCCCCTCTCGTACACAAAATATAACCCACACAATCTCCACGCGGTGAGCAATCTCTCCGTGCTTGCGGCTTCACGGTATCTTTTTTTTGTCTGCTCTTTATATCGCAGGCCAAATTCCGATATATACGCGACCTGTTATTTTTAAAGGTAAGAGAGAAAAAAAAATAAATGAGGAGGAGTACGGCGCCCCTGTGTCCACGCTGGGATCTTGGTTTCATTGCAAATGAGGGAAAAGACAAAAAGAAAAAATGAAAGGGCTTTACGCCTTGGGCTACTTTAAAGTAATGGCTTTTTATTGCGTGCCTGGGTGGTACCAATTTGGCATTAGTCCAGTAGATGACGAATTCCCCATGTGGGTTAATACCCTCATCTTCCATTTCCAGGTGACAGGGGCACCTGAGTATTTGTTGGATATTCAACTATTTGGAAACATATTCGAAAAATGTAAAGAAATTGATTTATAAAACAATTACTTTTCTACCAAAGGACATTGCCCATCGATTTTCCGTCCTGAAAATAACCAGAACGTCCATACAATTTCCGTGATAAGATCGTTTGACTCAATAAGATACCCCGGTAACGGTAAAACCCCGCGATGTTCAAAAGTATCTATTTCAACTACTAAACTCAGGCATGCACATATTTTCATCATTGCGACACTGAAAAAAAAAAAAAAATGAAAAAAAAAAGACAAAAAATGGCATGTTTATGACTACCGTATAATAGCGCCTATATATAGCTTACTACTAGATGATTATCAAATTGAGGGGGAATTTTAATCGTGGCCCAAACAAAATTGATATTTCCGCGGTTATCTCTAATTGAGACACAACGTTTACAAGGGTATGTATATCGCATTACGAGAATTTATGTGCACTTTCGTTTGCATTCCAACTAGATAGCTGAGGAACGCCGAAGTAGTCTATAGGCTACGCAGAATCAAAACTGGATTATTAAAATTTATATGAGCGATAGAGAGTTCATTATTTATAGTGACCGGAGGTTTATTATTTAACGATGAGATGCAGAGACTAATGTACTGAGCAATCGGAATTACATGGAGAAAAAACTTGAAGAAAAATTCCGTGGTACTGCGCTATTCATTAAAATATTATTTTACACACATTTTTCCCTCTAAGATAAGAATCTGAATAGAAAAAATATAAAAAAAAAATATCGTGCATTCATTTGCAAATGTAAAATTTTTATTACCAACGAAACCAAAGACCTTTCAAGATAGTGAGGATTATTCACCCCTGTATCTCCTAAGAGTTACTAAACATCTCTCGACTCCCAGACATCGATATACCTACCCCAGCTAATGCGACACGATAGTTTCCAATGAATAATTAATGAGACAATTCGATAGGATCGTCCTCAAGAGGATGTCCATTTGAATGATGGAAATAATAACTGTGGTGTATAGTATATTGAGGGGAAATACCTCATCGCCAAGTGTAAAGGGCAGTTGAAAGTCTCAGATCATTTTCTAGAAAGGGCTTTGGCACAACTCGACTCGGCCCACGCGCCATCCAGTTGCCCTCCAGCCTCGCGCCTCTATGCAACCACGTGATTTATGAATGTCTCGATTTATTATATTTAAACTAGTGCATAGGGTCATCGAGCGATGTCGCTGGAATTCTCCAATGCCCAATTTACTTTTTCCAATTCTACTGTTCTTCCAACCAATTGACTCTGAATTAATTTTATTGCCATCCCAAAAACCGCACTGAATAGTGGGTCACCCGCTGCCCGATAATTCACCAATTGCCTCAGAGAGAGATTGCTTCCTATAACTGCAATTATTCTCTGCCCTCGAACGCCTTCATTGTCTCCTTTTTAGTTTTTTTTCTTTTTTTTTTTTTTTTTT